CTGTGGGGAGCCAGCTTTTAAGCCAGCTCCCCACCTGCCAGTTCCTGAGGAGCCTCCCTGCCTCCACTTCCCCGCTGCCTCACAGAGGCAGTAGTGCAAAGGGTGAGGGGGCAGGCAGGAGCCGATACACGCAGGAAGCCAGCTTTCAAGCCAGCTTCTCACACATGTCAGCTCCCACAGAGCTGCCTGCCCCTCCCCCAATGCTGCTGCCTCTCTATCAGAGGCAGCAGCAGAGGGAAGGCAGTGGGGATGCCAGAGCAGCTTCTGGTTGTGTTACCTACCTTGAGTTGGTTAAATTTGAGTAGGTCACTGTCACAGCTACCAGTGAAAGATGAGAGAAGCCTTCGTTGCTCTGATCTTCTCTCAGAGCCAGCCCGGGTGGAAGCATGAGGCTGAGCAGGGATGCTCATTCCCTGCAAACAAGGAAGAACAGTTCAGGAACTGCAATTTAAAAAGATCTGAGGCAATCCAGCTGTACATTTCCTAGAGACAAAAATGCGAGACCAAATCTGAGCCAGTAAAAATATGATGAATATTTCCACACAGCCAGTACATATCTTACTGCAGAATCAGAATAGAAAACAAAAAACAACAAAAAGAAACTGTGTAGCGACTGTTGGATTAGCTAATATAGTGCCCAGGCTAGTGAAAGACTCCCTGCAGTACATTTGCAGCCTTGTCTACTAGGTAAGCCAGGTTTCAGGGAATTTGGATCCTGGGTGGTTCTTCCAATTCTATCCAAGAACCAGTGGTCCACGTAGCTCAGTATTTGGTCTCTGACAGTGGCTATTACCAGATGCTTGAAGGGAAGTGCAAAACCCTCACAGGAGATGCACACTAGGTAACGTGATCTTATAGGTAAGTTTCTTCCAAATCCTAGTCAGTCAGGAGTTGTCTCATCCCTTGCAGAATGACGTTTTATATCCCTTATATTTTTAATCCTATCTAATATGATTATGGAGATTCTCATTATCCAGGTATAGTCTAATTCTTTCTTAACACCTCCTGGAAATTACTTCCATTAAAGTTAGTTATGCATTGTTGCAAAATAATATTTCATTTAATCAGTTTTAGATTCAATGCGTTTCAATTTCACAGAATATCCCCTTGTTCTTTTATCACGAGGAAAGATATATAAAGCACTTGATTTGCCTTCACTTGCTAATTTGATGACCTATATCACATGTACCCTAACTACACAGTCCCACTTTTGAGGTTATAGGTCTGTTACAGGAGTGGGTAGCTTATGTTCTGTGGTGCAGGAGGTCAGACTAGTGGATCATGATGGTCCCTTCTGAGCTTAAAAGTCTACAAGTCTTTAGTCTTTTTCACATATAGAAAAACAGATTTCTCAGTCCTCAAACTATTTTCAGAATGGCAAACTATACATTTATATAAGGGTCACTTCACTTTAACCACCATGGAAATGCCTTAGAAATGGAGTACAATGCCAATGTGAAAACAGCAGCAACAATACAACAAAACTGTTGTTTCTGAGGAGAAAGGGAAACATTTACGTTTCTACCAAGAGGAACATTTAAGTAGGCAGAATGCATTTCCCCAGATTAGAATTTGACCAGGACATAGGGGGAAGATCCTCCTATGCTTATAGAAAAGAGCTTGGGACCTTTAATAATTTCAAGATCTCTGTTTTATTTCTTATCTGAAAGACTATACTTGCAACAGGGGAACACCATATTAGGACACAGGCTTAATTACATTTCAGAGAGGAGAGTTAGTAAACACTACATTTCAAGACAAACCCAATTAACTCAAGGAAGCAGTCAACAATGAGTGCGCTTACTTGTGTATCAGCCGGAGGCTCCTCTGCCAATGCACGACTATTGTTGAGGTATTTAAGTTTGTCCTTCTTATCAATTTTGTAATAGCCTTCGCTTCGGGCACAACCTGTAATGTGTTCTCGCATCCCATCATCCCGCTTCTTCTTTTTCGGTGTAGAAAAGCTAGTAGGTGGAACTAAGTTAAGGAGAAACCCAGCTACATGTGGAAATCAGACAACAAACCCTTCTGCTTCGTATTTGATGCAGACAGTCATTAGGAAATTTAAATGCTTAAAAAAAGGGGGGGTGGGGATGAGAAAATTAAGACCATTTGCCAAAAGAAGTGTCTAGAGAAGTGAAAATCTAACGACCAGGTAACTGGATCCTGGAAAGCCTTGCATATTTTATTGTAGGTGTTAGAAGCTGGCAAATGAAAATGGGTTTCCCTCTTGTGGTTCTGAGGTGACAATGTCAAGTGAGTTTGGGTGTATCAGTCTATTTCCATGCAGACAAAGGACACAACCACGGTTGGCACTAGTTCATAGTCTCAATACAGAGGCCTGGGACTGTATGGACAAAGATCAAACTCATTGCTGACCCCTAGAGTCAGCACCTTAAGATAGAGGATGGAGCAAAGTGGTGTGGGACAAGTTGCCGTTCCCATACTATAAACCATCAGCAGCTACTGAGAGAACTTCAGCTTCCAGGACCAACAATCGGGTATCTTCCACGAGCTCAGAAAGTTAAATAGTTTTAGGGTTTTTTCCCCAAAAAACTCTAAAATAGCCTCATGCCCCACATGAGAATCAGACACATCTTTATTTATAACTACAAAGCTCTGCGATAGCAACATACATTAAAGGACAGAAATACAAGGAAACGGAAGAGGGGGGGGAGAACGTCCACTTGTCAAGAAAAGGCTGTTCTGGAGATGATTTCTGTGAAGCACATGACCACATAAAGATACAATAGCCCCCTGAATACCTGTCTAAACAGTTTATTATTTAATGACATTTTCCACCCACATGCAGTGTTCCTAGAACTTCCTTGTACCATCTCAGACACTCCCTCTCCCAAATCCTGCTCCTGTTTGGCCCTAATAGCACAGCCAGACAAACTTTCACAGGAGCAAAATCAGGCCCAGGAAGATATTCCAAACCCCATTCTGAACTCCTCATTGGTAAAACTCAAATCTGGACTAATTAGAATATTAAACCACTCCTCTCCCTGATATTGACCTAGGTAGAAAACAGCGGTTGGGGTGCAGCGATTGGGGTTGGGGATAGGAACAAAATGATATATTCTCCACTCTGCCACCAATACCATCTGACTTTGGGTGACAACATTCACTTCTCTTTGACTCAGTTTCCACAACTGCACAATTTCACACAAATGTTCTCAGCCCCCCACATACAAGAGTATGGCAAGGATTCATGAGTGTTAAGAGCTCTGAGGTCTTAGTACGAAGTAATACAGGAGAACAAAGCATTATAATATCACATCACACTGCAAAACTAAGTTATTACTCCAATCTTTGTTTTAGGATCATCTGGTGAAAACAAACTTTTCTGTCCAGTAAATCTTTATTTATTAGCAAGCATTTGAAACAGCCACTGCAGGCAGGTTACTGTACACTCAACTATGTCTAAGCAGCTTTAGAGTCTATTATTGTGTGTCCTATGATTCCCCCCCTTAAATTGTAAAAGAAACAAGTATTTTTTGTTTTTAACAAAAAATGCTGCATGTGCAGACTGGATTAGTACAAAAAAAAGTGAAAAATGAAAGTGAAAAATCCTAAAAGTGAAACTAACTAGCATAGTTTAATCATCCACACTAAGACTGCAAAATCAAAATGAAATGAAATTAAAAAATGTTCATTTATAATCTACAGCTTCAATTACTAAGATAGGTGAATATTTTTTCAAAAAAACAGAACCTGTTAATATCCCATCAAGACATAACTCTCTTGACAAACCTTGAAAATGACTTTTCTTATAATAAAATCTCCACCAGTTAAAGGAAGCATTCTCCCAATGGGAACACATTTATAATGTACTTCAAAAGCAGCATTAACATACATATTTAGATTGTGGTAATTACACACATGACTATGTTCACTTGTGAAAGAAGGAATCTGTGTAGAAGCAGATTGGGAGCATATGTCCATAAACATATCCATGAAACCCACAACCCTTTAGCCGTTTCCAGGAATGCTCCCTACACTTATATTACCTTTAACATTAAAGGATTGAAGCAGAAGGTCTGTAATTACAAAAACAAAAAACTTGGAAAGTTCCCTTCAATCCTGTATTTGATACCTTGTTATAAAAATAATGCTGGATTTCATATAATGTCACCTTATAACGAAGTGGGATTGGATGCACTCATGGGAAGTGACCTTAAGGGATGGTGCTAGAATAATGTATTAATGGAAGGAATTTACTTCAAATATCATTATGTGACTGGCCAAATACATCTCTCTCCTCCCCTCTCCAGGACCATCATTTCTGCCCTCAGCAGTGCAAATAGGGCAATATGGCCCATAGCAGCCAGATCATTCAAGCTGGTACAGTGTACCAGAAAGACACAGGAGGAGCAGAATGCCAGCAGCTCCTCTAGTGTGGCTGTACTGCTCCCAACCCCATTCTCCGGTGGGGCTGCTGTGCACAAGGAGGAAAGCTGGCATGGAAAGTTGGGACAGCAGAACCGTGCGGCAAGAGCTGCCGACATGAGGCTGCCAAGCAGCTCTACATTCTGTTTATTTTGCTGCTGCGGTGCCAAAGTCTCCAGCACAGCGAGAGTAAGGAGAGTGGATCATGGGGAGGGGTCAGGGACCGCATGGGGGCCCCAGGCTGGGAGCAGGGCAGGGAGGAGTCATGTGGAGAGTCACATGAGGAGATCATGTGCCCCCCCCCATTAGCTGCTGTGTTGCCCTATACCAGTAAGAAATGGATTCCACTTGCACCACTGCCCTCAACTGTCTAGTTCTCCCCTCTATCTCACGCTAGCAAATGAAGTGCTGTTAATGCAGATGTCAATTTTTTAAATCTTAGAACATTTACTTCCTGATGAGGAAAACAAAGGGCATTCAATAAAGTGGATTTTGTAAAGACTTCATACCAAAAGGGAATAGGCCCTTAATTTTGTCCCCTTTTTGGATGTTTTAGCTAACATTTAAAAATTCATTTAAATGCTATTACAGGAACCATAAGAAAGCAGAACATTCATATTTAAGCAGATACACTCCCTTTAAATCATGTCTTCTGTAATGGAGAGAACAAAGAATGAAAAATGCTCTGTCAGCTTGAACTCTGAAACTACTACCTGTTGTTACTGAGTCATATTAATATTTTTTTAAATGAAGATTATGTTCCACATGTAATTAGAAGAGATGGGATATTTTGCCCCAACTATTGTATCAGTATGGGGAGAAAATGATCAAACCAATAACCAAGGCCTCATTCATGTTCTGGATTTTACTTGAAGCATAAAGGATATAAGGATGGTATACCCAAAGGGTATCGTTGAGCCAGTCCATGCCATTATCTTGCTGCAACAACCGATCATACGTGATACACATAAACTTGATATCTTCCTCATCTATTCCTCCATTCCAAATATCATACAAAATGGTCATCTCCTCGAACTCAGAACGGGGCCTGAAGTGGGGCCGATGTGGAGAATATTCAGGGGAAGGAATCACTGGGATGTCCTCGAATGTCTTTTTCTGCCTTCGCCACTGTCTTTTAGGTTTCACATGAGTCTCCTCTTCTTTGAAGTCCTCATTCCATTGATTCTCTAATTCCTTAAATGGAAGTTTTTCTGCAATAGCCTCCGGGGTTACCTTCTCGTGGAAGCTGTCGTTCCTGAAGTCTAGGGTGACTGCTTCGGGATCTTTCAGTCCATAAAAAGCATCAGGATGCCCACCCAATAACTCTTTGCTCACAGCACATTCAGTCAAGGCAACAGGGACAGGAGGAGGCTCTGAAATTTTGCTGGGATAGGCCTCCAAAGAAAGGACTGAGGGAGGGGATCGTTTTGGCCGACCTGGTTTTCTTTTGGTGGGCATAGAAGGAGGAGGAGAAGGAGGATGTGGAACAGGAGGAGGAAGAGATACAGTAGGTGCTTCTGGGTAGAGCAAAACAGATTTCATGGCTACACAGGCAAGCATGGCAGGGCTGCTATAGATACTGGCTCAGCAGGAGGCAAATCTATGTCTGTGTGGAAAGCAGCTTCAGGAGGGCTAGCAAAGGGAATTGGGGAGGGAATACTATTCATGCTAACCCTTAAGGAAGCACTGAGAGGTTCTTTAAAACATTTCTCATCTAGCTCATCTTCTGATGGTTTCTTGCCAGTCAAAAGGCAAGGAAGGGTCGCACTAGGCTCTGGGAAAGTAGGTGTGAAATTAAAATCCCTCCCAGGAGTCCGAGGAATGCCACTATTAATCCCAGGAGATTGAGATGGATATGAGAACGGACTACCCGGGACTTGAGGGGAACTTAAAGTCAAGCTACTTCCTGTAAGGGGAGCATCGCTGCTAGGGGTGGCTGGAACAGTGTCCGTACTCTGTGACTTTGCAAAGCCATGTGAAGATTTGGCCATAATATCCCTCCCCGGAGTCCTAGGAAGTTCCTCATCCAGAGCTGTTTTGGTCACAGTTAACTGTTCAGGGAAATTTTCTGGAGAGATTAAAGATTCCTCTTTACTAGATGTTGATGGAAGGGAAAGTGTAGAAGGTGGCACCGTGTGAGCTGCAAGTATGGGAGTATCAGAATCCGAATGGACCACTGTGTCCCGTCCAGGAGTCCAAGGCAGTCTCTCCTCCTCTGCGGCGGATAGTTTTCCTGTAACTTGGGCATCTAAATCACCATCATCAGACTTACTGAAGAAGCTGCTTTTACTGAGCAGAGGTTCTCCAAATACCCCCACTGGTGCTGAGGGACAGAGGTTCTCTTCTTCATTGCGAGATTCAGGCTTTGGACCCTCTAGTACCTTAGGCTTGATATCCGATTCAGACTCGTCCACTGAGAAGAAAAACAAAATAATCTCCAGTCAGCTACTAATCGGTTCCCAAGGTGCTGCCATTACAGAACCAGCTAATACCCACTGGGGATGTAAAAAAGGTTTTAAAAAAGCAACCAAGTCACTGTTAAAAATCTTAGTGGTTACACATGCTGAAAATGTGGTATAAGCCGGGGTATAAGCTGGGGTGGCAACCAGCTCCCAGGAGTGGGGCTGGCAGCCCAGAAAAGTTTAACCACAACCAGAACCAATAAGCTGATGGTTAAATTCTTACATCTGTATTTTAAAAACTCTGCCACTTCCCATTTTGGAAGCATAAAGGAGGAAGTAATTAGAATCCTGAAGCAACTACAGAGACCCCTAATGAACCTCCAGAAAACCCTATTAATTTGGGGACTAGCTATTCTAGAGGCTAGAACCAAGTTTTCCTGCTTATAAAGTGCTTTGCTTACATAAACCTTGGCTGGCTTCTTACAGCCATAAAATAATTCGCAAATATTTTGGGAAAGACTGTTAGTCAGCAGGCTGTGATGACCTCAAGCTGTCCCTACTTTTTTTTTTCCTAGGAGGTGTCAAATTAACTGTAGGGCCAACAAGAACGGCAATGGAGCAAAGGAGAAGAATAATGCTCTTAAATATAGCATGGAAGCAATGGGAGGCTGCTTTAATGAACACAGATAAACTTGGTTAGTGTCATTGAGGCAATTTATATGCTGCTCTAGCTATAACACTCATTTGTTCATATTTTATTTACCTCCATAGAGCCAAAGGCCAAAAGGCGCCAACACTCGATCTCTAAGGCATCTTGAAATAACATTTTCAAGAGGAAAAATTATGGTGTGTGGAAATGTCTGGTCAATTGGCAGGTCCTCTCAGGTCTATACTAAGGAGCAAATGTGGAACAAGGATACCTAAGCTTTGTAGGGAGGTCTGACATTTCATTCTTGAGAAATTGCATTATGATATCTTAACAGGAAGCAGCAATGCTAATGCTAAAGATTTCTTCTGCATTCTAATATGCCACATTCAAATGAAGATTCCCCACATCAGCGCCACTTCCCAGAGTGGAATTCAGCTGTCTCCAGAATCCATCAGAGACGTTACTTCAGTCCTTCAAGGACACCACCTTGTTTTAGAAAGCAGTTCCTTTTCTGTTCCCATGAGACAAGCCTATAGCCAACACAGAGCTTCCAGGTCCCATGGCAGCCCAGAAGAGAATTGCTGGCTGAGGAGGGACCAGAACTTCAGTCTGGGCAGTTAAATTGGTTGCAGGCCACGAGACATTTTGCAGACACTGCCGCCTGCAGTTCCCAATGGCTGCGGTTCTGTGCCCAGCCAATGGGAGCTGTGGGAAGCAGTGGCCAGAACCTCTCTGTGGGCCCTCTTGCTATGGGCTGTGGGTTGCTCATCACTGCTGTAGTCTATCAAGCTTTACCCACCTCATTCCTATTTTAACAAGTTTTTAAAGTCAACTTGAGGTTGTCTTCACAAGTAACATAGGACTCTGAATTTATCGAACATTCCAGAACCCTAATTTTCTTTCTCCTAGCAATGGTGGGAAAAAATGTTCATTTACAAGGGAGTGGCCCCAAATTGGCCCTATAAGAGTTAAAACCCAGCCCTGGGAGAGGGCTGAAATGGTGGAGCCTGCAGCAGAGGCAGATACTGTCAATTAGGGCCCAGCTGGGGCTGTATAAATAAGGGCTCCTCGAGGGGAGAAGACAGACTCACTCTGCTGCCAGGGAAGTTAGAGGCTTCCTGAGACAGAGCAGTGGCAAGATAGGTATAGGGGAATTGGGGGTTCCCTGGGAGGAAAGGACCCCACACTGCCTGAGCACTGACCTAAGACAGTACTAGGAGGAAAGGGCAGGCTGAACCAGCAGAAAACCTGCAATTGAGGCTAGGATACTGACCAACAGATGGCGTGCTGAGGCAGGCAGCTGATTCCTTGAGTGACCAGCCAGAGGCGCTGCAACAGTGAATGTTTACCCCATGGCAGGGAGATAAGTGAAAAACCCCTAATCACAGAATACTAGGACTGGAAGGGACCTCGAGAGGTAACGTAGCTGGGACACCTAAGGTGTGTCTACACAGCAAAGTTATTTCAGAACAACAGGCGTTATTCCAAAATAACTATGTTAACAGGATTGTTGTGTAGATGCTATTTCAAAATAATTTCAAATAACGGATGGCTTATTCCAATTTCTGTAAACCTCAAGAAGAATAACGCCTATTTCGAAATAAGGCATGTATAGATGTTTCACTTCTGCTATTTTGAAATAGCCCCTTACCAGGGCCATTTTAAGTTATTCCTCCTGGGGATAGTTTGTCTACATTAGGGAAGCCTGCCTTGGACTAGGTTTGAGGCTTCCCTGAAGTGCAGGCGTGCTATTTCGAAATAAGCTATTTTGGAATAACTATTCTGGAATAGTTTATTCAAAAATAACTGTGCAGTGTGGACTAGGGACATTAAATATCAGTTAATTGAATAGTCACGTAAGCTCATGAATTCTTATTGGTTAGTCAACTACTCTATGGAACCTGGGGATGGGGCCGGCAGACAGTGCACTCTGGCCCCACTTCTGAGGAGCCCCCTACCACTCCTTGCTGACACCTCTGTATCAGAGGCAGCAGTGTTGGGTGCCAGGCGGAACTGGTCTGCGAGGGGAGCCAGTTTAAAAATCAGCTTCCCTGGCAGACCAGCTGCCTGCCCTGACCCCAAACATGTAGGGTGGCAGCAGCCCCTGTCCAGGGGTGTGTGTCTGAGCTCCCAGACCTGACATGAGCCAGAACTGAGCCAGGCCACAGCAGGAGTAGGTCCTGGACCCACCAGCCAGGACTGAGCCAGGTTGCTGGCCAGCCTGCTAAAAAAATTTACTGGGGGGTGAGGAGTGGGGGAATGCATGTAGTCTGTAACATTAACCTATATGCTTTTGCTTATCGGTTAATCGACTACACTATCACATCCCTAGTGGAGATGTAGCTCTAAGAGTCCACCACCCTCAAGACCATGTTAACTCTTCCATTCCAATCCCGTAACACAGCTCCTTTAGAACCAAAGCACTAAAGAAGCCAGCTCTGGGCTGCTAAATTTAGAATCCCATGGCTCATTGACAAGGCACTTAATAGATTAAATCTGCTACCTCTTTGGTCATTTATTCATTCACACACCTTTAAGGGTATGTTCTCACTGTGACTTAGGCTGATGGTGTGGGGCTAATAATAGCAGCTGATATAGTGAGGATTCCACTGGAGTCTTTGTTCTGAGACACACCTGCCCTTCCCACTATCTCAAAGACAGGCTCTAGTCTGAATCTGAACTCCCGCACTGCAAGTTTACAGCCCTGCTTCCCATACCCACTGATCTGGTCTCTGAGATGGATTTTTTATTAGAGTGGAGACATTCCCTAAGACAGTTATGCTCCATAACACTATCATTCAGGGCACAGGACAAGACAGATGAGAACAATGCATGGAGCATTGTCAGCAGTAGAACTCCAGTTGCAGAACACCTAACTGCAGGGGCAGGCAGCAATCATTTTTGATGAGGGCCACTCCAAGAATTTGGTAAGTGGTCAAGGGGTGCACACTTCCATTAGCAATGTTAGATAGTGGGTAACAGAACAGTCAACTATCCACATGAATTCCTAGTGGTTCGTTAGCTATTCTGTAGTCCCCAGAGGCAGGACTGGCAGCCAGTGCAATCTGGATGCTCTCCCAGGGATCCATTGCCATCCCACACTGCTGATTCTATAAAAACCAGCTCCCCTCACAGATCGGCTGCCTGCTGCGCTGTGCTGCTGCCTCTAATACAGAGGCAGCAGACCCTGTCCATGGGGAACTTGGACCCCCTGCAGACAGAGATTGCTGCTGCAAAGGAGCCTCTGCTTGCGGTGGGTCCAGGCTCACCATGGACAGAAGCTGCTCCACATCCCACTGCAGACAGAGGCAGCAGGCGGCACCACGGAGCCTATGCTGGGGGGAACTGGCTTTTAAGCTCTTCCCCTTCCCCCCAACACTGACTCTTGCTGCCACCCCTTGCTGCCTCTAATACAGAGGCAATGGGAAGAGGAGGAGAATGTGAGTAGTTGACTAGATTAACAGATAAGCCTAGGCTTATTGGTTAATCGTCTAGTCAACTACTCATTGACATCCCTATTGTCCATGATATTAATGGAGGTAGTTTGAGGGCTATGATGGAGGTTGGGTGCAGAAGGGAGCATGGGGTAGCAGACTGGGGTTCAGAGGTTTGGGTTGGGATATAGGGCAAGAGGGGATTGTGATCTGGAGCAGGTGAGTCAGGTGCAGGATCTGGGAGGGGTTATGGGTGCAGGAGTGCCAGGTGAGGAGGTTTGGTCTGTGACCTAGGGCAGGGAGTTAGGTTGCACGAAGAGGTGGGGTGCTAGGTACAGGCTCTGGTCAGAAGGCATTTATCTAGGAAGTTCCTAGCCAACAGCGCAGTTGGACCCTCAAACAGACTCTCTGCTTGCATGCCAATCAAAGTGGCCAGCTGTGGGGGCCACATGTGTATCTGTGCACAGGCACCCCGGGAGCGACCCTCCATGCACTGCCTGTGCCACAAGTATGGCCTAGGCAGCTCCTATTGGCTGGTCTGGCCAATGGGAGGTGCGTGACTGTGCTGGAAGTGGCAGCACCACACAAAGGCCTCCTCCTGGGGCAAACATTGCACAGAGATGCATGTAGCCCTTGCAGCTGCCTTGAGCAGTGAATAGGGGCATGGCAAGCAAAGAGTCCACCTGAGGCTCCCACTGGGCCATGGGCTGGTGGTGGGCTGGATCCAGTGGTTTGGTGGGTCGAATCCAGACCATGGGCCATATTCTGGAAGTGGCAGCACCACACAAAGGCCTCCTCCTGGGGCAAACATTGCACAGAGATGCATGTAGCCCTTGCAGCTGCCTTGAGCAGTGAATAGGGGCATGGCAAGCAAAGAGTCCACCTGAGGCTCCCACTGGGCCATGGGCTGGTGGTGGGCTGGATCCAGTGGTTTGGTGGGTCGAATCCAGACCATGGGCCATATTTTGCCTGCCCCTGTCTTATCAGAAAATCAAGAGCTCAGTGAGGACATCTCCAATCCATTAGAGGAGAGATGAGGAGGAAAGGACAAGAGGGGTACCCAAAATATGCACACGTGGATGCTCTGAGAATATTATACTTTGATAATGCAGTGACGGATTATCAAATACATTAACACACTGTACCTGCTACATATATAGGAGATGGCATTAGCTTTACTTCCTGGAGTCTCTCCATGGCCACCAAACCTTCAGCAGCAATAGATTCTTCTGGCACTGCACAACTGTCACCTTCTTGTTGCTTGGTTTCTTCCATCTCTTCCTCCCTTACTGCCATACCTGGTGTCTCTATTCCTAGGCTTGTTGCTTCCATATAGTCTTCCACTGGAAACAGTTCCAGTATGGTCTCTTTTTCTTCATCTGCTAGATCATGACTAGCAGACTCAAGCTCTATTTCAGCAGCCATAGCTTCTCCATCTTGGACATTAGCTACCAGCTCCTCTTCCTCTTCCTCCTCATCTTCCTCCTCCTCCTCTTCGGAGTCAGAACTTGACTCAAATTCTGAGGAGTCCTCACTTTCATCAGATGATTCAGCTTCAGCTTTGGAAGATGTGGGACTCGCTACATCTTCTGCAAGGATAAGATATTATTACTGACCTTTTATGACCTCATTAAACAATCATGTAACACCACAGAAATTAAATTCCCTAGATTGTGTTTTTGGAGAGTTTCCTCCTGATTTTCAAGGCTTCCTTCAGATAAAAATATGGCTCATTTTAAAAGAAAAGTCAGCGTGGGAAAATATTTTTTCTTGAATGATATAAAATGAAATAGTTCTCTGAAGTCCTGTGCTTCCAGAGAAGAGCTTCTAGAAAGCATGGGAAATATTGGTGTTTGCTTGTGACCTGCTAGTGAGCGTGGATTAAATGCACAAGGGAAAACTATTCTCTACACCAGTGATGGGCAACTTAGGCTAGTGAGTGGGCCACATGAGGGGCCCTCCTTCATCTCACTGGGCTGCAAAGAGACAGAATAGTTTGCTAACAGCATTTGCGTACCTAGAATTTGTGGGATGAGCTGACTGCGCCGTAGCGGCGCTTTGATTGGCTGCAGAGGGAGCGCACAGCTTTCTCAGTCAGTGTGGTGTACAAATCAGCACACATCTCACTTCACCTGTCCTTGCTTTGCATGTGTGTCATTTTAGCAAACTGGTATGAAAAAACCTACATGGACGGAAACCAATGGAATCTGGCTACCCTGTGCATGGGCAATGGGTAACAAAATGTCTCATGGCCACATGCAGAACCCTGATTTGACCACCATTCTTCTAACAATGTTAGAAGTGACAACTGAGGCTGGGGAAAGGAGATTTACAGTGTATTTTAAAAAAGAATTTTCTTTTCAGTTTTTGATCTGGTGGGTTGTTACTGTTTTAACCCAGAACTGTAAATTCAAATATGCCCAGAGATAGAACCAGTTCAATGACAGCAACCCTACTGCATATGCTTAAGCATGAATACAAGCTTAAGAATTTGCCTAAAGGAGAGCAAAATGTGGAGCCTCAATCAGAAGCTAAATTCACTTTGTTTCTAGTAAGACTGTATACCTTCTGAGTCCTGCTCATCTTCCTTTTCACTTGTTTCTACTCCTGTTTCTTCATCTTCATCCTCTTCCTCCTCGTCATCAGCATCATCTTCCTCCTCATCCTCTTCCTCCTTTGGCAGTAAATATTTTAATATTTTAATGACAACTTCAGAAAAATAGGTTGACTATGTACTTGGCTTTAATAAATAAATCAAAATATCAAATAGCACAGCATTGAATGCAATATACAATTCTAAATGGACAATAATACTGGGTGCACTATTTCGTGTGTATTAGTAGAGACTCTCCAGAGTTGTGTCCCAAGTAGATTAAATGAACAGATGGTGTTTGTCAACCTCTATCAGACACTAAGTTTGTAATATTAAACATTGGGGAGGGGAAAAGGAATTTGTTTTGAGCAGATGAGAAAATTATGCCAACAAATACCTGGAAAAGTAGCCCATATAATTTTATCTACGCTTCTCTAACTACACTTGTATCCAGTGATTAGCATTTTGTAGGTGACGCATTGGGGGAAGGGTGGATGGAAATACCTTGCCAGGTGCTGCTTTCACCAATGCTCCCCCTTCGTCCTGCTCATCTTCCTTTTCAGAACAGGATTCTTCTTCTTTACCTGAAGTCTCATCTCCTTCTTCCCCCTCACTGTCTAGCTCCAATGGTCTTGCTGGTCTCCTTCGGAGGCCTACTGCTTCTGCATCTTTCTTAGACAGATCTGAAGTAATATCAGACATATCTCTGTCCCTTTCTGACTCTGAGGGGGCGGGGGAAGAGGGGGAAGAGAAATAAAGAGAATTATAATCAAAACATCATGAAGTCAAGGGATTCAAATGTCATGGGTAAGCTCATAATATAATTATGCATAGCATAGTGGTCAAAGCTTCCAGTCAGGATTAGGACCCCCTCCCACACAAACACACAGTAATTTGCAAGAGATAGTTTCTACCTTAGGTTCTGGCACTGTGGGTGCTCAGGGGCTCAAGCACTCACCCAATCAATAAGAAGTGTAGTCTGCTGCACCTATGAGCCAGTAGGTGGCAGGAGCATGTACACAAAAGGCAGAAAGCAGCTACTGGCAAAAAAAGAGTAAGTGCTGTGGTCCCTATCCCAAGAAGTTTAAAGAGTCTAATTTAAGGCAAGGCGCAACAGTAGGATGTAACCAATGTTCTCTCTAATTTTTAGCATGCATGTGCACAATACATTTTTTATGTGCACCAAAACAGGCATGGATGTGCAGCATCAGTTGAAACACAAGCTGTCAGCTGCAGGCACTGCGAGCGCTCTGCTAATCAGCTAGGCAGCATTTGAATCTCTGCTGGATGGCTGCACAAGCGCCCAGATTACTGGGAACTCTGAATGTAAAGCCAATTTGGGGGGGAAGAGGGGACAGAGACTAACAGTGCCCAATGACTGTGTTTACACAGGCTAGCTACGTGCTCAGTTAGCAGGTCAAATCAGCTTTTGGTTTTTACAATGCAAATAAACAAGAAATATTAAGGATATCAGTCATACCTAGAGTCCCTCTACATAACCATTATTAGTTGGGAATTTATCATAGGCTTTCCATCAGAAAGTAGTATGTGTGGAGGAGCGATTTAATGGAAGACAGGATTATGGCTTTCTGGACTACTTTGGGATGGATGTTCCATGTGTAAGTGGCTGTGTGGATGACAGTGAAGATACCTGTGGGAGAAGTGGGTGGTTGCCCAGACTGGATGAGGTGACACAAATAAGAGACAGCAGCAGTAAGCAGAAAGAGGACTGTGTTGTAAAGGGCCTAAAAGTAAGGGGCAAAAAAGGGATATGAAGAAGCCAGCAGAGGGATTCAAAGAGGTGAAGGACATGGTCAGAGTGATGCACAAGCAGGTATCTGAATGGACTGAAAGGGGACAAGGTGGAGCACAAAGGCCAGAGAGGAGGCAGCTGGAATAGTGAAGACAGGAGATTGCAAGAGCCTAGACAAGCATTTTAGGAGTGTGTATACAAAACAAAGTCTGGATCCTGCAACATGATGGAAGCAATGGTAAAGTCTGGATAAGAAGTGGGAGGGCGGGATTTCAGAGAAGCCAAAGTCAATGATACCATCTAAGTCAGAGGCTTGTTGAATAGTCAGAGGAAGGGGAGAGAAAAAGGCAAGTGGATGCAAGAGCAGTTTTGGTCCTGATAATTTTAAGGATGTTAAAGACTAGCAGATTCCCTCTCCTTGCTGCCTCTATCAGATAGAGGGGACAGGGAAAGCTGATCCCCAGCTGATTCTGGTTCCGCTGAAATGCCACACAGAGCTCAGGATCAGTTGTACGTCTACACTACCCCCCTAGTTCGAACTAGGGGGGTTAATGTAGTCATACGGAGTTGCAAATGAAGCCCGGGATTTGAATTTCCCGGGCTCCATTTGCATGATCCCGGCCGGCGCCATTTTTAAATGCCGGCTAGTTCGGACTGCATGCCACGCGGCTACATGCGGCATGAACTAGCTAGTTCGGATTAGGCTTCATTTGCAACTCCGTATGACTACATTAACCCCCCTAGTTCGAACTAGGGGGGTAGTGTAGACGTACAACTGATCCTGAGCTCTGTGTGGCATTTCAGTAGATGATCCTGGCTCTATGAGGGCGCTTCCACTTTGAAATGCACAAGAGCCCCCGCTGGGGATTCTTGTACATTTCAAAGCTGGCGCCTGTGTGCAGCCCGGAGTCAGCATGACCTCCCACTGGCCCCGGGCTGCACTCAGTATTCTGCATTCCTCCTTTGAAATGTACCCACTGGGGCTCTTGTACATTTCATGAAATGATCTAGCTTCTCTTTAAACTCTGTTATAGTCCTAGCCTTCACAGCCTCCTCTGGCAAGGAGTTCCACAGGTTGACTACACGCTGTGAGAAGAAGAACTTTCTTTTATTAGTTTTAAACCTGCTACCCATTAATTTCATTTGGTGTCCTCTAGTTCTTCTATTATGGGAACTAATAAATAACTTTTCTTTATTCACCCTCTCCACACCACTCATGATTTTATAGACCTCTATCATATCCCCCCTCAGTCTCATCTTTTCTAAACTGAAAAGTCCCAGTTGCTTTAACCTCTCTTCATATGTGACCTGTTCCAAACCCCTAATCATTGTTACAAGGCTACAGACCGACTACCAGTATTCTATCCTTTCTTCGGTCTGAAATTTGGAAAATGGCAACAATAACAGGGTTAAATGCTGGTGTAGCCGAAATGCAGCTCATAGCCACACACAGGGTTTGTGCTTCCCTATAAGAGAAGCCAGAAAGGTCAGTAAAAGGAGGGTAGAAATCTGCTATCATCAGGAACAGCAACCTCATCCTCTGGGTCCCTTATATTTTTACCACAAATATTTGCAGGCATGCACTGGAAGAACACCTGAAATCCAAAGTCCCTGCTACTCAGCGAAGAGAGAAAACGATGCCTAGAAAAAGCAGGACCTGTATTTGGGATGTGGTGTTTTTAGGATTTCTAGGTCACTCCACTCTCTGGGGCAGAGTCTTCCTGAAGCTCCCATTCAATAGGAAGGCCCTCATACTTGAGCTAGTGGGTTTATTTTGCCTAATTCTGATCAGGTTTGCTCCTGAGAGATGCTACCAGTCTCAGAAAGGGAGTACATTTTGGTGCATGCCTCAGAATAAACCTAGCAGAGCTAAATAAAAGGGGTAAAAATAGGGTCAACTATATCAAGGGAAAAGTAAAGGAGATAAAGCCCAAGGCAGGATGCTGGGATCAGGACCCTGGGCCCAGCAGGCAGCAGCAAGCAGAGGGGCGGGGTTTCATGATGGGCAAAAGGAGGCAAAAAGTCAGGAGACAGACAGCTAGCCAGGGGCCAAGCGGGGGAAGGGGGGAGGCAGGGTCTTGGCCTGTCCTTTGCAGGCAGAAGGAGCAGCAGGCAGGCCACTGTGAGATGCAGAGTGAGGGGCAGAGCAGAAGGCAGGGCTGTGCCAGCTGAGCCAGCCCATGGGAGCGCTGCAGCAAGGGGCGGCGTGGCGCACTACTTCTGGGCAGTCTGAGTGCCGTGAAGAGCCGAGGCTGAGGGGGGACTTGGTGCTCAGGAGCCAAACCCAGGCAACACTTCTCAGCTTCTTGAAGACTAAGATCAAGTGTAGTATCTGTTCTTATTAATTTAATTGCTGATAGGTTCTCCATGTGAGAACTGGATGTGAAATGAATTTTTTGCAGCAGGGGCTGGGAAAAGGAGCTTGCTCTGTCCACTCCATGAATCGGTCCAGTACTGCAGTACCTCCATGGAGTGGTGCACCTCCTCTCAGGGACTACAGTGCTTTTTGAAAAAAGAAGCAAGATACTGGGGGAAAAACTCTGTGTGTGTGAGTGCGTTTGTTTCTCTGTTCTAAGCTCAAGCCCCAGTGCAAATTGTGGCAGTGTTTTGGCTCCACGTATAGGTTTGTATGGTGCTGGGCTGGCCTGTGCCCTGCCTTCCCCAAGACGTTGACTGGCTACAAGCAGTGGAGTGAGTGCTTGGGTGGTGGCAGCTGCTGCTGCTGTTCTTGCTTCCCTGGGAAAACTCCAGGTAGAGTCAGAGAAAGAAGTGGGGAGTGTGGGGAGCAGGCGGGTTCAATTTAAAAAAAATAAACACATTCACTCAAGTGGGGTAGGTGGGATGCTGTACGTAGAGGAGTGCACCTGGGACTCCGCTGCTTTGTTCTTGAGTGGCCCGCTTCTCTGTTGATTGCCTCTGGCTCTCACATCTTCCACGGCAGCAGGCAGTGCATGGCCTGGCTCAGCGTTCTTTCCTTTGCAAGCCTTTAGCCTTCGTTGCCTGCACCCTGCCAGCAAATCTGCATTTTGGACCAAGGCTGGCAGGGGGCCATAGCCCCTCCTCCTTTCCCCAGCAGAGAGAGGCGGGCAAACAGAGTGGCGAGGTGTCAAGGCAGATGGAACGAGAGCAGAGGGGGAGGCAGCCAGGCAGCTGCAAGCAGAGTGGCGGAGTTCTGTGGCATGCAAAAGGAGGTGAAGAGGCAGGGAAACAACAGCAGACAGCTAGCCAGAGGAAAAGCAAGGGGGCGGGGTCTCATCCTGGCAGGCAGGAGAGGCAGCAGGACCGTTGGGGGCGGAGCAGGAGGTGGGGGCTATGCACATGAGCGCCAGCCTGCCAGCCGAGTCAGACTGAGTGGGCGGGCACCAGGCAGCATGGGTCCCTGAAGGTGCGGGGCCCAAGGCAACTGCTTGCTCGCCTTGCCCTAAGGCTAGGCCTGCTTTCCAATATATTAGGCTTAAATGCAAGCTTCCTGGGACTGGCAAACCTTAAAACATTTAGCTCTTTAGCTGCTGGCTGCAATTTCAATGATGCTTGAAGGACCGTGTTGCACTCGACCTCTGGCCATTTAGGTACCTGGTTTATGGAGCAGCACATATACTGTATGTTGCTTCACTAATCAGATATGGAAGGAAGAACCCAAGGATTAATATTTTGAGCAAGTCAGTCCTGTGCCCCTCACAGCTAACTTGTGTGAATACATCAGGAACTGAGAGTTTGGTTTAAACATTAGATTATGTGATGGAATTCTTTGTTTATTGAACCTAAGCATCTGTCCTCATGATGACAACATCTTGTCCTTATATGTTCTGAACTATTTAAATAAGCTTGGTTTATTCTTTTGTTCTTTGGCTGCTTGAGCAGCTGTTAGCATCAAGGATCAAGTTTATATGGGATAAGTAAACTGCACATTAAAGAGATCATCAGCTGACCTCTATTTATAATCTTACTTTAATACTGTACTATTTAAACTTTTTAAAAGGTTAAAATACTTTAAAATAGACTTTCCCCCATTCAACAAATAAATTACTTCTTTTATTTTTAATGAAATCCAACCCAAATTGGCTTTCCTTTATTTACGTCATACTGGCCTTAATAATGGTAAGATACACACAGCTCTGGAGTGTGATTGCTAACCTAATCTGAGCTCTCTGCTAGCTGACCAGCTCTTCAGCAGCAGAACAAAATATGGTTGTGTTATGCACAACCGTGGGTCTTACGCTTCCTAGTCAGAATAATTTTAAGGGAGCACAATCCAGGTCAGATATCACTCAGCTGATCAGTGTTATATGGAAGGCTGAATTTTGGCACAAATCCTGACTGTGTGTTTAGCTGGGAGTGAAAGTGCTGCTGAGAAGTTTAAAGGAATTCAGTTTTTGTATGATGTGCATTTGTACTTATGTATTAATTAAATGAGAATTGCAAACCTTCATCTTCATCATCAACAGAGGTAGAGGGTCTGATTCTCTTCTGATCTCCTGCTGAGGCAGCTTCAGGTGGTTCCTTTCTCTTCACCTGAACAAAGAATAAAATTAGCATTTCTAAAAAGGTATGGTAGAATCTGAAGAAACCAATTTCCTAAGCAGATCCTTGATGCTTTGCTAAAGTAACTGAAGACAGGTCTGCCCTAGAGACACTACAGCGGTGCAGCTATACCGCATGTGGTGAAGACACTCCAGTGAAAGAGCACTCTCCAGTCAGCATAATAAATCCATCTCTATGATAGGCAATAGCTAGGTGACTGACACTAGAAAGCATAAGACTTCAAGAGCCATTGATTTGTTTTGCTCACAAATTCTACCTCCCAATTTGTATTAAATCTCAATTCCAGCAGATTGTCTTGCCATCTCTAGATACTTAAATGTACGAGAGAAAACCTATGAGAGCCTGAGATGGAGGGTACCCTACCTTCCTGAGAGGGAGTAGCTATGTCAACAGGAGAAACTCTCTTATCAATAAAAGCGGCGAGGAGTCCTGTGGCACCTTATAGACTAACTGAAGTGTAGGAGCATAAGCTTTCGTGGGCAAAAACCCACTTCATCAGATGCATGTGACGAAGTGGGTCTTTGCCCACTAAAGCTTATGCTCCTACACTTCAGTTAGTCTATAAGGTGCCACAGGACTCCTCGCCGCTTTTATTGATAAGAGAGTTTCTCCTGTTGACATAGCTACTCCTTATCAATGTAGCACTGTGCATACCACAGGTTAAGTTGATATAACTCTGACGCTCAAGGGGTTGCATTTTCCACACCCTTGAATGACAGATACACTGACGTAAGTTGGTAGTGTAGACCAAGCCTGAGACTGCTAAAGAAACTGTAAAGAAAGGTTAGCATTAAATTAGGACTGGAAGACACCAGTCCAATATGGTAAACTCAAAGAGAGGCAGCAAAACCTTTTAGGTATCAAGGTGCATCCACCACAATTACAAAGCTTCAAAATAAATTTACAGTTTCAAACTTCAGGAATGTAGGAATGCTCCACTCCACTGCTCTGATCTCTCTTTCTTCCAGGAATAAAAATCTAATAAGATAACTGGCTTGACTGCACTCTTTCTAGCTATGCAAAGGGGCTATGCATTTTTTATAGTTTGCATATTGCTTGCCGCATTTAATATCCAGATGTGCTTATTGAGACACACAGTGGGGCAAGCGTGTCTTCTAACTCAACTCCTCTATCCCAACCACATTTTAAAATTCAGCACATGTACAATCCAGAACTATTTCTGCTAACAAGGATTAAGCCCTTTTTTTGCCTGGCAAAAATGCTTAAATCGTGTTACAAAAGGGACCTAGTCTCAAATTCTACGCTGGTGTAAATGGGAGACAATCTACTGAAGAATGTAGAATTGCATTCTCAACACCGTACCAAGTCCAGCTCCTGATCTAACATTGTTCAAAACTGCATAATTTCCTCCAGCAGAAACTGCTTTTTCCTAAACTGCTGAAACTTTATTTCCCAATATAGGTCATCACTGCCACAGAGCGACTCTCATTAATCTGATTCATACAAGTGGCATGAAAAGGTTAGAAGAAACTGACACTAAGGAGTATGGATTCCCGTCGCCAAAGATTACAGCTGATGTTAAAAGTGAGGGGGGTTGCTGGACAAGAAACATGGTAGAAAAGTGAGTGTCAGGGTGTGTCCCACATTCTAAGGATCTGGATGGAGAAAGGAAGACAGCCTCTGTACTTTGAATGCTCAGTTAAGGAAGACTATTCTTGTTTTCTAACTCATACCTTGAAAGATGGCAACCGGATGGCCCCTCGTAAACCAATGCCCAAGCCAATTCCCTCATAGCCAAGCCCTTCTCCTTTGTTCCAGTTCTCCAGGAGGCAGGATGTAATTCGATCCTTTGGCTTCGGTTTTTCCTCATCTTTATTTTCTCCCGACTTTACTGGAGTGAGCGATGCCTGCATAAAAGAAACAACATTTAAACAGGCAACAATAACTGTAGTGGGTACGCAAACATGGGAAATGCTTCAAATGTTTCAGGGCAGGCCCACCACCTATCTGAACTTTAACTTCTCTAAAGACAGCATCTTCTGAAAGACAAGCCATTATGTCACAAGTGCTTAAAGGGGTGTATGCAAGCAGTCTTTTAGAAAGTCTGAACTTTGGTTCACTCCTCCCCGGCATGCCAATGCTGAGACATATCAAGGACAAATACAGAACATATTTCTTCAAGTTTCCATTGATCAGGCTTGACCCAGATAATTTAAGGATAAGAACTGAATTAAGTTCTATAGGCCACACCTTTGCCAATGCCCTAATCATCATAAAGTGAATCAAAACAGTGAACAGGATCCATCTAAGGGAAACTTAAGGACAACCAAGACTACATATGCAGATAAGTCCTTACTAAACTAGTCAACTTTTCTATAACCTATGCTAAATCAGGTGGTACGTTCCAGAAGCGAAAAGAGAACACAAGAGCAAGCAGTACCAGAAGCGTATAAATAATAATCAAATTGCCATTGAAAAGCTCTGTAGCAGTTGCTTATGTTTGATCTTGTTTAAATCAACTTCTCAAATTATCCCATTTTCCACCAAATGTCTTTGTGTTGCACTCAATTCCCTTGTTAACACGGTGACAGTGATGCCATGAATTTCTTGAGGGTTGGTTGTGGGTGCAAGACATTTAACCCACCACTAAAATGCATCAGATATCTGGGGTGGAACATGACAGTCGGAAAGGACCACCCTGTCCAGCTCAAAGTGGAGGAGGACGACTCTCCAGGGGCAGAGTCAATGCCTCTTGACTTTAAGAAAAAAAAAATGCCATGGGATCTCAAGTAAAAGGTTATGAGGATGTTGGCTCTATGTTACATTGGAAAGTCTAATTTGCAGAATGTATCTGCTAATATTTCACTGAAGGTCACTGCAACAAACAGATCGTAAGAATTTAAGTTCGGAGGCTCATATTTTAGCTTTTCTTTTAAGGGGACCAATTAATCGATTACCAGCTTATCATTTAACTGCGCATATAATCATCATTAATTTTTTAATCACTTGACAGCCCTAATACTTAGCTTTCATGTTAACAGCAGTCAGACACCTGTGTTGAGAAGTTGGGAAGCATAACACTGCCATAAGTGGGTTACAATCCTGGCACAAAATAATGCATACCGGTACCTAAAGATCTTTATCAAAATAGAAATAAAAACATTTGCTCTAAAAGTAACCTTCCCCAGAAGGGAAGCTCGATATTAGGAAAGTAGTAGAACTGTCAGAGCAAAACTTTCAAATGTTTGGCTCTGGTTTTGAAGCCAAGATCCAATTTTAAGCTTTTAAAATAACAAAATTCTCAATCTTTGTCTAGCTAATCTAAAAGTAGGACTCTCTCTTATCAAGCGCTTATTAGAGCAAGCTGGGAATGTCCAGGACTAAACGTGTGCTTGTAGCAAGTTTGAATAAGTTAATGGGAAAATATACCAAAGCTTTAATTTGTAGGCTTTGCAACAGCTACACTTGGGGAGAAAGGGCAAAGAAAGGGAGGGATAATGATGAGCCTGGGTTTCTAAAGCAGGAGGAGATTTTCTCTATTTCTTGAAAGTTTTCCTAAGGCTTTCCAAAATGAAGGCATCGAACAGATGTATGTACATAAAATGTTCTTCACCTGGCTCTCCTCTTCAAGAGAAGCTATCCCAACCACAATCCAAAGAATACAGGTAACCCCTTTGGCAGTAGAGGGCTGTGCTTATAGAATTACAATACCCTTAAACAGAATATTCATGATGACAAGACACTCAGACATTTCCACAAGCGAGTAGTCCTGGAAAAGGTTCATTCTTTTACCTGTGCTGGACAATGTTCCCTCTAAGTTGCTTGGCAGCAGAGCTTCACAAGTGATGAATCAGCCTCACCCAGTCAGTCAGCCCCATGGAGGGAGAGCAGCTTAGAGGGAACACTGGTGCTGGATATATCTAGGGAAATGCCCTTTGCTCATGCACCATCTATGATATTCTAGAAGTTAAGAAACAGGCTTCTGAGGTCAACTAGAGCCAATTCCAAATCAAGTCAAAGACTTTTTTCCCATTAATTTCACTGGGTCAGAATTTAGTCTAGGATTCATCCCCTCCTATTTTAATGGGAAATCCATCTCTTTCCTTGGAAAGGTATTGCATAGTCTTATTACTTACTCTCAAGGACCATTTCCTTATATTTATCCTTACATTTCTTCCAATTTGATCCCTTCATTTCTGCTTACCCACACTCTGCTTTGGAACACCTTAAACGCTAATCCAGAGCCATCTGTGCAAATGCATGAAACAATAAGAATTCCTACCTTTGCTAGGCGTTCTTTCTTGTCCCACCAGTCATCAAAGGCTCTAAATGCTACCACCTCGACCATTTTCCGGTTCAAGTCCCTTTTCATAATTGCTTTTAGTTCCTTCACAATCACCAAGAGAACACCATCCACCGTAGCCTTGTGCGGATCCTCCTTCTTCGGCACGTAACCCGGTGGTGGGACTGAAGGGTCAAACTTGGGCAGCGGTGGCCATTGCTGCCCCCGGCCAATAGCTGCCCCCATTACAAAAGGGCGGTAGGGAGGGAGGTTCACAAACTGCATCCGACTTCCCATAAAAGGTGGGTACTGATAGGTGTTCTGTCCCTGCATCATGCGGCTCAGCATCTGAGTTTGCATCTGAAAGGACATTGGCATGCCGCCCCACTGGTTGCCCAGGACATTTATCATATCCACTTGCATGACAGGAAACATGCCAGGATGGAATGGAGGAAGTGGAGGCAAAATATGAGGCGGTGGGACCCCAGGTGGCGCAGGAAGCGGAGGTGGAGGGACAGTGACGGCAGGATGAGTTGGCGGAGGTGGTGGTGGGAGAGGCGGTGGCATTGGAAAACCCGGTTGGGGTGGTGGAGGGGGTGGAAGTGGAGGGAACCCTGGAGGGGGCATGGGTATCGATTGTGTCATCACAGCAGAGTTGCTAACAGAGGAGTTCACCACAATGGTTTTGGCACATTCTGCACTGGTGATCGGTGAAGAATTCATTTCATCGTCGGATATTTCCATGTCCTCCCCTGAGGAATGCTGACCCTGGAAGAAAGGGGAAGAGAAACACATTCCTTTAATATAAGTTACCTTCACTTTGGCTGCTTAGAACAATAGCCACAAACTAAATTCCACGTGCTCAATGGGACAGTAAAGTCATTCTATTTCATGTGAGACTACACAGGCAGCCCCCTGGAAGAGGTGAGGAAGAAGCTCTCATTATGAAATAGCACTAGCCCCCTGCTTCTATGCAACATAGTAATTGCTGCCCCCCTATTTTGTGAAGCACCTATAACCCCACATCAGTAGGAAGCACAATCTTTTACCGACAGAAAGTTCTCAGAATCAAATTGAAAAGAGTAACTAATCTACCTTATGCTATTCAGCAAGTCAGTTTTTCCATTTTTTAAAAGCATAATCCCCAGACCTTAGCAGCTAAATATTCACCTCAAGTCAGTCAGAAGGGATATGAGTTTCATATTAATGTTTGCAACTGCTACAATTATGTCTTATAACAGTGTTTGGAAAAGGAGCTCCATATCTAAACAATTTTCAATTGTTTTTGATCCTCACAGATTGAATCCAAAATGTTCAGCAAAATAGGGGAATGGGGAGAAGCACCGATCCAGGGTATACCTCTACATGGAGCTAAGAATGTGGACTCCCAGCTTGAGCAGACTTAATGAACTAGTGCACTAAAAATAGTAGCGTAGCTGCACACAAAAAGGCAGCAGCAAATGTGGGCACTGGGTAGCTTCCCCATGGCAAACCTGCCCAGGTCTCAGGGGTACATGCCACTGCCTGTCCTACTGTGACTACACTATTTTTAGCACATTAGCTCAATGAGATCTAGCACGAGTATATCTGCTTGGGAAGAGAATCACCACCCCTTTTTCCAAGTGTAGACAAAGCCCAAGTTTCTGAAGAGACACTCAGCACAACAGCAACTGATCTGCTAGATCCACTCTAGATATATCTGCACTTAGCAAACAAGATCTCAACTGTCTATTATACTGGAAAGGCAGTTTCGGCTTGGAGTCACACAGGACTCGGATACCTGATGTTACAAAAACATTAAAAATTCCAGCAGCAAAATACAGGGGGTGGAAGAGTACCCAACCCTCAGAGGATGTTTTCCAGAATACTTAATCAGGGCAAAGCTGTTTATTAACCAGACCTCAGTTGAGGGGCAGAGTGACAGCATCTTGTCCCTAATCCCAACGTGTGTGCGTGCGCACACGCACCTATTTCTCCTCCGCATCCACTGCTTGAACACGAATGGACCTTCCGCCTTATTTCTTTCAAGCAGTTCCTTCTTCCCAGCAGCAATGCGTAAAAAGGCTAAGCAAACAGCTTTACACTGCCACAAGCTATAGACTATATACACAAATACAGAAACCACCACACAAATGCAAAGACGAAGAACATGCTGATGCACTGTAGTTGTGGCTTTATTTTTGCCACAACAGTCAAGGGATTCACAGGTTTTGTGATTTTTATGGGATTGTTTAAAAAAAGGGGGGGGGGATATTTGCATACAGGAGGATGAACATATTGGCAAAACAGCTGAATCAATTGCATTGTGAGTACACAGAACTCACCAACACACACTATAAACATGAATCAAAAGGACACTTCTGGTCCAGCAACTACCACCAGAGAGCAGGCTGAACACAAAACTCACAACAGCACGCTCTCAAGCCTTCAGATCACTGTGTACCTCTTTTGTCAGGGCCTTCCCTTAACTCATAAAACTGCAAAATGGTCACATCAGCAAGTGACAACCTTTAGACCTAAAGAAGAGCTCTGTGCTGCTTGAAATCTTGTGTCTCTCGCTAAAAGAAGCTGGTCCAATAGAAGAGACTGCCTCACCCTCCTTGTGTCTCTAGATCCGAGGTGTCCAACCAGTTCTGAAGCAGTCGTCATAGAAGTAGTTACTGCTATAATAAACTAGCCACGCTAAACTGGCCAAATAGCCACACATTTTGGACACCACTGCTCTAGACCAAACCATTAATAAAAAGTGGTTTACAAAAAAAGGCAAAAAACCTGAGCATTTCTCCGGAAAAAAAAAATCAACATACATGTACCAAAGACACCCTAAATGCTATGATGGGTGCCTAAGAAAGAGAGCAAACTGATTTTTCTAGTGGCTCACCTGTAACAGCTGAGCAAAAAAATAAGTTTGCGTTTGAACAAAACATTTAATTCCACCAGAAACTTGGAAGAGGAGGGGGAACCTTTGGAGGGAGAGCTAAGTATTTCTTTTTTTTTAAAAACCGATTTTGAGTTGTTTTTTTTACCCTTTTATTCATGTAAGTGATCCAGCTAAATTTTTAAATGAAACACTGCCTTTTCATTTAAACTTTTAAAAGGCCCTTCCCCCTTTTATTTGGCTAAAATTATTTGTCCCATTCCACCCAAATAGATTTATCTGATGGAAAAATGCATTTTTTGACAAACAAGCTACTAGCCAAAAGAAATTTGCCCAGCTCTACTTTGAAATGCAAGTAATAATGCTTTGTCTCTACCCACTGTTAGTAGGGTTGCTAATTTTGGTTGGATGTATTCCTGGAGATTTCATCGCATGACACAATCTTTAATTAGATATTACTCTTAACCCTACAGACTCCAGGCTCAGGCCAATCCTGGAGGACTGGCAACCCTAACTGTTAGCAGAGCTCTACATAGTAAAGGTAACATGGGAATAATTCAGTGCTCAGCATCCTGTGTTAGTAATTCTACATTCACACAGGCACTCTGTGCTGAATGCACTTTGTAAATCCTTAAGGGTGCTACACAAATTGCATATCTTATTTCAAATCTAGTTCAAAATAGGCTATTTTGAAATGTGTTGCATCTACACAGCACCAGATTTCGAGCTTGTAACGTGTCATTTTGAGACATCCCTTATTCCTCATGCAATGATGGTGAAAGAGCACAGCTGTTATTTCGAAAAACATTTCAAAATAAACAGGTGGCTTGTGTAGACGTTGGGTAGCTATTTTGGGATACCTCTGTAACCCAAAATAGCCATGCAGTATATACGTACCCAACATGAAAAATAAAGCATGTCTGAGATCCAAAACTACTACCCAACACATTAAACTTTCAATATAATTATGATTTCTTCTCTTTTCATCCTGAAAACCCCATAACTTGCCATTTAAAATTTCTAATTTTGTTTAATACACTTTCCAATCTTTCCCACGGATCCATTCTGGAAGCTCAGGGAGCAGCATATAATGTCTCATGGACCAGGAATGCTATGAATGAAAAACTCAGCAGCTTCAACCAACAATGCTCCAGTGAAAGGGAGCAGAGGAGGGGAATGAACCAACAAGATGCAAGAAAACTAGACCCATTTTTCAACAAGTGAAGCATGAAAGGTGTTGTTAAAAAGCACCCAATCTAATGCAGGAGGTGCTCAATGTAAAATATCCATTACTGTTTATGAAACCCAAGGGAATCTGGTATGTTCAAGTTGCAGAGCAAAGCAAGAAGTGACTTTATATTCAGCTGGCTGAGCCTGCTGAGATCTGTAGGGGTAACAGTACAAGGCAGACAGAATATGAAGATGCATGGCTAGCTTTGGGACTTAGAGCTACCTATATTTTCCGTGTGCTCTACACAGGCTGTCTTCCCAGCCCGCCACTGTTTCCACAAGGGAGACAGCCTAAACCTACCACAGAAGTTAGACAGCTTCTTCTCCTCTAATGTACTGCACTAACCTCAGTGATCCTGCCTGAGTCAGCACCTTCTTTCTGGAGCACAGCTAGTGCTGAGGCACCAAGATCAGTAATATCCCCCACTGGAATACGACCACCAAGAAGGTAGCTTATTTACATTAAAATTCAAGTCCTGCTCATTGTCCGATCACCACCCAGAATTCCCCAACAGCCTAAACACTCTGTCTTACTATAATA